CAGACATTACAAAGCCGCCCATACCCCTTGCTTCTGAATAGAATTGTCCTGGCCCTCCCCAATTCAGATGGGCACCAGCCTAGGCTGCGTAAGCATTGAGAATGAGGAGTGAGGAGGCAGGTGGGTGAATTGCCCCTCAAGGTACAAGCAGGGAACAAGTGCCCCACCTGTGGCTGATTGAACCGGGGAAAACCAGAGGCCAGAGGTATTCTTAATAGCCAGCATTTCTCAGAAACACAGTGGAAGTCTCCCAGACAAAGCAGACAGGTTGGTATCCCTTGCTTGAGAGTCAGTAAGAGGGAAAGGAGTGAGTCAGGCCTAGCCAACGTACCAGGGACAGTGGTGAAATTTCGAGAATCTGGAGGATCAGCCAGCTGTGCTTCCCACAGCAGCTTTCAATGACTGTCCCTAAAAAGCTGGCATACACCTGGCTGCCAGACCATAAAGGGACATATCTAGAGTAAAGGCCTGATTGCCTCTAAATTCACTGCCTCATGCCAGCTCCTAAGTTTTTGTAGGGATCTGTACAGGTCTGGCCCCTCCACATGGGTCCTGGGACCCATTCTTTGGAAATCCATTCTTGTGACTGGCATCTTATGTTACCTTCTCCTTTCTCTGCTGTTAGGTGATGGGTGAACCTATCAACACCATATTTCCTGTCACCAAGTGCTCAGGTTCAAAACTGAAATCCAGTTCCTACTAACTCACTAGATCACTAGCCCCCATCTTTTACTTCAATTTCTCATAACCTACAAAGAAAAGAAGAAACAATACTTATGAACAAAAGATCGATAATAAACAGAGGAGAGATTTCCTGGCATTGGGCTGGGGGCACAGCAGGAAATTGTGGCCATGCAAACGACACTCACGGCCAGAGAGTTATGTATCGTGACCCTTGAGTCGAGCAACCTTAATGCAATACCAGGGTCTTAAAGGGCTGTATCTCTCTTGCCCTCTGGTAAGTCAGTTCTTAGCTGTAGTGTAATTTTACAGATGGAAAATTCCAAAGAGCAGTGACTTGCTCTTTGTTATACAGTGAGGCATAAATACAATGCACAGTAGCAACATAGGCCTAGTCCTAATTATTTGACATCCTAAGACCTTTCCTTTATCGTCTGAGGTGGCTTAGCTGAGTGTCCAGCACGTTATTACGGTGGGAAGCCGGGACAGCAGACCTCATTGCCTCAACTCTGTCTCAGTTACACTCAGCTTTCCTACCCTCTTACCTGAGTTTTGAGATGTAAAGGTGAAAGACACATTTGGTTGACATTGTACCCAAGACAGATGGTAGAAATTCATCATGCTTGTGCCTCCCAGGTCTCAGGGTGTTTGATGTTTTCCTCTGGGCCCGGGCTCCTCTCAGGGCCACTTTGTTTCTTCTACATGAAATTTCAACCCAGCCTCTTTATATATCTTAGCAGTGACTTAGTGGACGGTCTAGCTGACGAATTTTGTTCCATCACAAAATGAGTTTACTGCCAGGGTAGAGGGGGAGATTATATAGACAGACATACAGTTACGAAAACAAAAGGCAAGTGGAAGGATGATGTGGTGGCACTTTCAAGATGGCAGGACCTGCCCCCAGGCCATGGCAGCTTTTGTCCACAGCCCAGAGACGCCATTCCTATGCTGTGAAAGTAAAGGCGTTACCTCATCTCCTTGACACCACCTGAGTGATCCATGAATGGATGTTCTCTCCTCACTACAGGTGAACTTGGTCAGGACAAGAAACTCCCAAGGCTTACTCCAAGTCCTTGGTGCTACCCTGCTTTGCTCTGTACTGTTATATAAAGCCGCTGAGCCAGGCCCTTCCTTCACACATTCCATGTCCCTGAACAAGACCTCAAATTCAGGTTAGCTGCCACCCCTCCCAATTCAGTTTTACTTGATGTGCAGTTGTGTGCCGAAGTAAACTGTGTCCTGTAGAAATGAGCAGGGTAAGGAAGGAGATGCAGAAGGAATCGCTTTGCACACTTTGGATCAGATTTGTGCCGAAGTCATATGGATGAACTGACATGCCCCAAGCTAGACGAAGAAATCCACCTCAAAACTCAGCCAAGAGCCTGTTTATAGAGGGCTTGATTATTTATAACTTCCATGTCAGTGCTTCTCGAATGTTCACTGTTCCTCTCTTGTTTTGGCTTTACTAAATTGAGGTGAGCTCTGTGGTTATTGCCCCTGATTTATCAATGTGAAAAGAGAGCCTTTAGGGATTTGACCGTAGACAAGTTTCCAAGGGACTGAGGGGTGCAGGCAGAGTAAGCATCCTGCTTTTCCGGCCTCTTTTCTCTTGACTGCGCTGCCTTACAGCAAGGTGTCTCCAGAAGCCACGGTCACCTCCTCCGTGTGAGACAAACATGAATCTCTCTTGGCCTATTGCTGCCAAGGAAAGCAGAATATAAAAAGACATGTCTTCTGCCTTGCCAGATGGCTTCAGGGTAAAATTCTTCCCCAAACTAAGTGTTAGAGTCCAGTCAACTGTTTCAGGGAGGGCAAGAAGTAACCTGGAGAAGTATTTAATCCTCTTTCTTCCCCAAGATTCCATGGCATCGAAGCTTGTTGTAAGCAGGCCCTGCCAAGGCAGACAAGACCATTGAGCTGAAATCAAGAGAATGGGTCCTTGGCAGAGCAGACCCTTTTAAGAATGAAGATTGTATGCTGGAGAAATCCTACCAGTCCTTGGCAGTTGGAAGGTCTGAGGTTTCAGGCTGGGCTCTCTTATTTTCCATACCTCCTGAGGAGCTGGCTGCATAAGGCATGAAATAAGCTGAAGAATCATGAGCACCATCCAACCCATCTGGGAACCCACAGTGGAAAATTATGGGAGTAATATATTGAGACGGCCCTGGGTTTTTAAGACCAATGCATACTTGTGTGCTTCTCTGCATACTTTGCAGAACTTTTCATTATGAAAAAATGAACAGGTAGCATGAAGAATGGCTACTCATTCTTCACATGCTTTGGAGAAGCCAGAACTTGGGAAAGCCAATGAAACGGAGGGTAGGAGCAACTAAGGAAGACCGCTGTCAAGAGAAGCATGAAGGAGCAGCACGTTTGGTCTCAAACCCTGTTATACTGAATGCTTGGGTATTTTGTGTTGGGTTTCTGTGATAGAGTTAGCATTAGGACCCTTGAATGAATTCCTGGGACACGCTTTATGCTCCTACTTGACACCAAATACTAGGAAGGTTAAAAAAAAAATGAATAAGGCATGGCTTTTTCACCTAAGGTATGTTTTGCTTGAGCAATCAAAGCTTTGAAAGCACAGAGACTTCTATTTAGATGTTTGTTTTAACTGTTTTCTTTCCATGTCGTTTTCCTCTCTTCTCTCTTCCTCTCATCTTTTCTGCAAAGCTCTGAGTCTTCTAAATATGAGACAGTCCAAGTCACTGTGATTTAATAGATATTGAAAGAGCAGCATCCTTATGGAAGAGACACAACTGCACACCAGACCCTCAATGCAGGACACTACGAGGGAAATCCCTGAGCAGAGGCCGATTCTAGAGGCATTTGCTCTGAGTTGTAACTGGGAACACTAACTTTGCTTCAGGGGACTCACAACTTCATATTGGGACATCCGGGAGAACAAATCAGAGCAAATATGTTAGAAATTTTTCTCCCTCCTCTTGACTGGGAAAAAAGCAAAAGGTCTGAGAGCCTGGCTAAGCATATGTGGGCTCCATGGACCCTAGATTCTGCATGAGCTGTTCTTGACTCCCACACCCCTATTCCAGGTTCTACCCCCAACCCCACTGGCCACTCCTCAGTTTCCCCATTTCTTTTTTCTCACTCTGCCTCTCAAGCACTCATCTCTTTCAGGTACTCTGTTCCCCACTCTCTTTTACAAATTCTTTCTCAAAGATCTCATCCATTCCCGTGGCTTGGATGGTTACCCACAGTACATGTTGTCTCTCGAATCAGAACCTCTCTCCTGGGTTCCAACCCTAATTGATTTTTGGAGTTACAACTGAATTTCCTTCTAAAGTAAGATACACAGTCTCAAACTCTTGACCTGTTTCCTCTCTGGTATCTCCCATCTTAATACCTGTCACCAAGATGTACCCAGTCTCCCACGCTAGAAATCTAGGAACATCCTGGACTCTGCCCCTTTTATTGCCCTCCTTAAGAGTCACTAATACTATTGATCATGGTTTCTAAAAGTAAATAGAAACCAGCACCTCGGCCTTCTGACCTGTTTCTTCCATTCTTCAGGCCTGTTCGTTTCTGTCTGCAACCGTTAACAGTAGCTACTAATCATCGAGTGATCCTCACATCATGAGATTGTGAATGAATTCCTTCACCTGTCTGTGCTATTTCTTCATCTAAAGCAGGAGGACATTGGACTACATGTCTGAGAATGCTTCCAGCTCTGACGTTCTTTAACGTGTTAGCTTGCGTATAACATAGACCGTAAAGGGAAAAGCTGAGTTTTCTGTCCTTTCACTTATTCCTTGCTTCCCAATAACTTTTAAAATTCTTCTTCCTCCATTTTTATTTTTGATTGAAATGTGGCAGCCCAAGACCCAAGCAATGATAGGATTTCCCAGACATTCCCAAGGGAGACAATCCCGTGTCCTTTCCTTCTGATGTCACATCAAGTAAGGGGGTTGCCTGGAGCCAGGGCTTAAACAGATCAGGTGTTGTTCTCATTGTTATCACCCCTGTTACTGTTTTGAGGGTGCTGCTCCAAAGCTATGCAGATGCAGACACTCAGGTGGAAAGTTGTAAGACAACTTCCCCCTGTGAAGTGATCAGAGGGTGCATAGGAACACCTTGTCACCACTCCACCCCCACCACTGTCTCTTTAGCTGAGACTCTAGTTTAATGAGGTGGTCCCTGAGGCTTGGAGTTTCTCTAAAGATCGGGTCTCCTTTGGTGATGATTTAGAAGCTCCATTGAGGGCAGTAAGGGGAGTGGTGAAATGGTGCCTTTGCTGAGAGCTGGGGAACTCACCATAGTCTTTGAAGCAACACTGTCCTCTGTAAGCGTGAGGAGTCGCCATTCTTTCTGACTTTCCACTGCCTGGGAGGTGATAGGGAAGAGCTAAGACTTCCATTCTCTAGTCCCCTGAAGTTGGTATTTTGCCTCATACTGTGTGGGAAGTGGACAGTTTGTCTTCCGTGTCTCCCACCACTTTTCTTTGCACTAAAAAAGATCATTGAGAAATGGCTTTTTTTTTTCTTTTATACACATCATCTTCCTAGAATCCAAAGGCTGCTAGAGAAGGGAGAGAAACATGCAAGTGCATCCCATGCTGATTGTTGCTGAAATACCTGGAAAGAAGCTGGCAAAGACTATCTGAGGGATGCTAAGACATCTCCGAACTTATAAAACCGTGGAATGTGAATAGGAATTTGAAGTTGTCTGTACTCTCCTCAGCGATACCCTGGCATTTTAAGGTGTAAAAAGTAAGATTTTCAGCAAATTGTAATGGATACAAAGTATCTGGCTGCCCGATCCTGGGTACTGTCTCTTACTGTCTGCTTCCTAATTGTGTGTGGATTTCCTCATTCTCCAGAGCCGAGGAACATCAACATTTGGCTTCAGAAATGTTGCTAAATCGTGAATAAACAAGAATGAACAAGCAAGGTAACATTCAAAATCTCTTACTCCTAAACCCAGTTGCAATGCTTGTATTAAACCCTGGACTCCAAGCTGCTTTGGTGCTATTTAACTTTCTCTTCACAAAGAGAGGGGAAAATGTGGGGGTATCAGACATTTCCCACCCTACCAAGGCCCCATGCACACTCTTAAAAGATGAGAGGTTTTCGTTTGTGCACATGAATCAAAGAAAGACTTTCTTGAATTTTCGTCTGCAGGGTTTGTTTTAGATCTGTGAAGAGTGGAAGAGGTCTCAATGGAGTGATTTTGTGGAGGACTGGAAAGATCCCTTTCCTCACCCAGAATCACTGTTGAGGCATATTCAACCATTAGAATTCCACTAAAGTAAAATACTGGGAAATAGCGTAGGTTAGGAGTCATTGTACCTAGCTTCCAAGCCTGGTTCTGCTCCTGTGATTTATACTTCATCCATTTATTTATTTAATTAGGAAACAAAACAGTCATTGAATTAATATGTGTCTTGTCCTATTCTATGTGCTGAGTATTAATGTGAAATAATGCAATATTTTTATTGACCTTATATTGTGATGGGGAAAGCAATAATTCACATATACATGTATAATATAATAATACCAATGTTATGAAGAAAGCAAAAATCAAGTAAGGCAGTAGGACGTACCAGACAAGGAGATGTGTTTGCGTAGGTGTGTGTTATTGTGCTTTAAAATAGGTCCATGAACTCTTTCACCCTCTCTTCAAAAGGTGCAGCCTAACCTACCTCCCTTTGAGTGTAGGCTTGGCTTAGTGACTTCTTCTAGCCAACAGAATGAAGTAGAAGTGATGATGTATAGCTTTCAGACTGGATAATAAACCCACCATGTCTTCTTCCTCTTCTTTTAGATTTTCCTCTCTGGGGAAGTTAGCTGTCATGTTGTGAGGATACTCAAGCAGTTTATAGAGAGGCTTGTGTGGCAAAGAACGGAGGCCACCTGCCCACAGCCATGTAAAGGAACCAGCTAGAAAACAGATTCTCCAGCCCCAGTTAGACCTTCAGATGATTGCAGCCCCTACCAACAGCCTGACTGCAGTGGAAGGAAAGACCCTGAATCAGAGAACCACCCGGGTAAGAGAGCCCTGGATTCCTGACCTAGAGAAGCTCTGAGTTAATATTTGTTGTTTAAAGCCACGGCTTTGTGGGACAATGTGTTAAACATAACTAACACATGTGATTAGGGAAGCTCTTAGTAAGAGCAGAGACCAGAATGAAAAAGGGGAATGAGTCAGGTAAATATATGTATAAAGAACGCTTGAAGTAGAGGGGATAGAACTGGCATAGGTCTTGTGGTTAGAACAAGCTTCATATTTTTCAAGGGAAATTGTAGGACTTGGAAACGGGCAAGACATAACTGAGTATCCATTCAGTAGAGAGCTGAGCATTGTCTAGGATATCTTCTGGGGACACCTGATTATACTGAAATGTTTCTCTTTAACGGAATTTCTATTTTCTAAGTTATTTTGCTTGTGGAAAACTGACAGTAATGTAAATGATCTTCCTTAAAGAAATACAATGAATTTTGTCCAGTAGAGATGTGACTGAATTCTACCCTGTAGAAAAGATGGTCTCAAACAATACATTTTAAGCAGCTCTATTGAAATAGAATTCTTATACCACACAATCCATCCATTTAAAGCTTACAATTCAGTTTTGTTCAGTATGTGCACGGGGTTGTGCAAACAGCACAACAATCTAATTTTAGACCATTGTATTACTCCTCCTCATCCCTGCAAAGAAACCCCATCCCTCTCAGCAGCTTCTTCTCATTCTTTTTCTTGTTTGGCTTTCCCCATCCCTCACGCCCTAGGCAACCACTAATCTACCCTCTGTCTCTATAGATTTGCTTATTCTGAAAATTTTATGTAAATGTAAACATACAGTATACGGTCTTTCAAAACTGACTTCTGTCATTTCGCATAATGGTTTCAAGGTTCATCTGTGCTGTAACTGGTGTCAATACTTCATTCTTTATTGCCAAATGATATTCCGTTGTATAGATATGCATTTTGTTTATCCGTGAGTTGATGGACATTTGTGGTATTTATACTTTTTGGACACTACAAGTGATGTCTCTATAAACATTTATGTACAAGTTTTTGTGTGAATGCATGTTTTAATTTCTCTTGGATGTATAAACATAGGCCTACCATATGACCCCGCAGTTCTACTCCTAGGCATCAGTGTACTGTGATGTTTGGAACTGAGTCACAAAGGGCAAAAGAAAGGATAACACAGTAAGCCAGAGAAAAAAAGTCCCTTGCGCAAATTACAAGCATCTCTCCTTAGCCTACATCTCAGGGTGTTCACAGACGGGAAAATGAATGAAATCAGTATCTCTCTCATTTTATTATTTTATTCTGCCCCTGGCATGACCTAGATCTTACGTTATTCATGGAGGTTTAAAAATATATTCCAGCACTCAAAATCCTCCCTGGCAAACTTCTGCCAGTTGTTTAACTTAAATTTTTGTTGTTTGTACCAGCTCCATTTTTCATGTCCTTTTTTCTGTAGTTCCTCAACTTGCCTTTCCTAGAGTCCAACCAAAGTCCTGGGAAGCAACGGTAACCCCAAGACAACCTCTCAGGCAAGTCTAACTGGCTGAAACAGGTGGCCTCCACAGAAGGAGAATACTGGTCTGAGCACACAACCCTGGTTATTGGAGGTAATGGAAATCTAAATTTCTCTGCTCTCAAGCCTTTAAAGGGGGCTTAGTTTATCAGCCATAACCTAGTACACAGGGCTATAAAGTGTGTTCTTCAAAGATTTTCTTTTCTTCCTCTTTCTCTCCTTTCAATTAAGAGTAGAAGTACTCAGGAAAGAATCATATAAACATAAGCGTAGAATTAAGAAATATGCATTTCTTTTCTTGAGGAAATTTTCCATGACAAATGAACAGCACTCTACCCCTTAGCCAGTAAGGTCAAGTGTTGGCTCTTTGAGGAAGATTCACTTTTCTAGAGCCAAAGGTAGGGGTTGGGTCTGGGAATCTGATAAGGGACAAGAGCTTGTGAGAGAAAATGGTTATCTAGAAAAGGAAAACTGATGGTCAGTGTTGATCCCTCCTAAAAGGTTTGCTGCTCCTTGGTGGTTTCAGAGCTGATGGTGGCCTCTGTATTATTACTTTGGGGCCTCTCCCCAAGTGGCCCTCTGGAGCTGATCTGACCATTCACAGCTGCAGCTGTGAGTGCTGAGGACACTTATTTATTTATTTATTTATCTTTAGTTTTATTTTAATTTTAGAGATTGAGGTTTTGCTTTATTACCTGGGCTGGAGTACAGTGACAATTATAGCTCGCTGCAGCCTTGAACTCTTGGGCTCAAGCGGTCCTCCTGCCTTAGCCTCCCAAGTAGTTGGAACTCCAGGGGCACACCACCACACCTGACTATTGTTTACTGGTTTGTCAATTTTAAATTTTGGGTCTTTCTATATTGCCCAGGCTCTTCCTGAACTCTTGGCCTCAAGAGATCCTTCTGCCTCAGCCTCTGAGTCAGTTACTGGGATTGCAGGCATGAGCAGCCACGTCTGGCAAAAACACTTTCAGTAGGGGGTACCCTGCTCATCCCTGACGGACACAAAGCTTGTTTTTCTACATTTGCACCAAAGAGTGAGCACACTTTTAGGTTATGTAATTGGAAAGGCTTTGTGGAAGAAAAGTATCAGAATACCTGGGTCCCAAACCTGGCTGTGTCACTGAATGAAGCTTTGAGAGTGTAAACGGTATGTCCAAGCTCACCTAGCTACAACTTGTGAGACTGACAAGAACTGAACCATATTTTCTAAGATCCTTCCAAGTTCTACCATTCTGGGTCTGAATATTACAGAGATCCCTGAACACCCTTAGATGTTTGAGTGCTTTTTCTGTGTCCCCTTCTTGTGCTCCCTCTGTATTTGTTCTTTCGGGGGCTTGGTCTAGTAAAGTTGGAAAGCCACTAATTCACAGATAACAAAAAGTTACGTTAGGAATCGTACTTAATTTACTTATGGAATAGTACCAGTTTTGAAATCAAGTAGGGATAGGATCTTTGACGTCTAGGAATGTCAGGCCCAAAGGACATTCTGGTGTGAAATCTTACGCAACAGTAACACATCGTGGGCTGGAGATGGGAGAACTCGAGGAAAATGATCAGCTTATTAATGTGCTCACTGCATGCTAATGCAGAGGTTCTGGTTGTCAAGGGAACAGGGGTACAAGGTGAAGCACAGATGGACAAGAAGAAAATGAGAATGTGAAATGCAGGTGGTGCGTTATTTTTGTAAGTTTGTATAGTTTTTCAGGACCTTTGGCCATCACCCAAAGAAGTGACACTTTGGACTGTACTGACACCAAGTAGTGAATTGAATAGAATCTTAGGCTCATGGTTGAGACTGCTTGGGTCCACTGCTGTGAGTAAGGCTAATGGGAGTGGATTATCATGCACATACAGAAGTAAAATGAAAATAAAAAGAGAAAAAGCAAAAGGAGAAGGAACATAGTTTCATTAAAACAGGCTAGCCTTCTATCAACACGTCAGACGCTTAATTTCTTTGTTTCATCTTTAAAATAAACATTTTGATACCACTTGGTATCTTTCTCACTAATCCTCAAATCCTTTTAATCACTCTTGAATATAGCCACAGTCTTAGTACTAGATTTGTTTAAAATATTCCTTTATACTCACGCTGAACCCATTCTTGGAGTCCAGCTTCTTAGAAACTTGTCTGTTTCCCTGAAACTTTTGGCCATATTTCCACAAAAAATAATCTCTCAAAAATTTTCAAATATTTGGCAGTGGCAACCCAGAAGAAGTCCAGTGATGGGCAAAGCTGGAGAGGTATGACTAAATTTTCTCAGAACTCCTGGTTTTTAACTAAACAGTCCAAGAAGTCAGCAAAAGCTAGCCTTCTGTCCTCCCCATCATCTTCTCCGTTCCTTTTGTTTTCTTTACACCTCTCTACTCACTTCCTTCTTCAGTACAATTGTGGCACTAATAAAAACTGCCAAGTTGGCATTATTGAGATATGCTCGGACTATCTGGTATCTCTGGTTCCTCAGGTTTTAATTAACTCTCCTTGAGGTGTTAGCAGGCTGTATTCAAGTCCCTCTCCCTCTCACTTCAGCTTATGGGTTCTGATGCAGAAATTTCTGCTCTCACCCCCTCACAGTTTGGAGCAGGCAATGATGCCAGTGGGTTGAGTTGGAGGGGAGTGGCAGGGTTGGAAAGTACTGGGGGAAGAGCTGGGAGATAGACCCTAGTCAGTGAGGAACTTTTTAAGAGTGCATAACTCGACATGCAGCTTCATGGGCTGGAAGAGTTAGAAACGATTTCTGTGTAGAAGCTGGTTCTGAGAAGTCTCACAATCCCAATGGGTCTGCAATCCCTGCAACTCAGGAAAACCAGAGAGAAAGGGTAGCTATCGGCACGGAAGACTCATGACTGCTGAGCGGCTGCATCCCCCTTATAAGGATGGGAGAGAGGGCTGGGAGATGACCATAAGGAGAGACCATACGGAAAGATTCGTCTGAGGTGAATTAAACTGGAGGTTTTAACCAGAAGAACAGTCATGAAATCATTGAGTTAAGGAGAAGATTTTCAAAAGTAATTAGAAGTCAAACCTGGTCTTAGAGCCTATGAAGGAAACAACTCAGCTCAAATTGGAAGGGGAAGGCAAAAACAAAGTAGAGACCTATATGTGAAGGAGGAGGCAAATGCTTTACTTGTCAAGTATCTCACTCCATTTGTCCACACTCTGGACAGGAGCATCCCTGTGCTCCAAATTTTCAGAAAAACGTAAGGAAGAGACTTGAATGGGTTAGAATCCAGGACCAGGCTGTTTCTGGAGAACCTGACATTAGAGGTTTCTGGCAGGAGTATTCTAAGCAGGGATCAGGGATTTCACTTATTGAGGGGTCATCTTTAGATGACAAAGTTTTTCCCATTTCCAGCTGGAAGCATCAAGGTTCCAACTCGAGGTTTGAAGTATGGAATTCTTGAGCTGTCCAATGCATAGGTCTAGCAGCTCCTGAGTTCTAAATCGTAACTCAGAAGATTGCTTTGTGGTGATGGTGGTAACAGGGATAAGAAGTGTCCAGTGAAATGTCAGTTGCCTAAAAAATGCCCAATAAAAGTATACTGTCTCAAAATGCACACAGAGAATAAGCTGTTGTCTAAAGGCATAATCAAGAGGTATGGATTCTGAGCAAGGGTTTCATGCCTTGGGTGCAACTGACAAAAAAAAATCATTTTTGAATCCCATTGGTTAGTGGGGGCAGAGCGCTGGTTATTTTGTTTGGTTGATCCATCTTTTTTGTGGGGTCTAGCTTCTTTAACTCAGCATAATGAGATTCATCTGTGTTATGGATTGCATCAATAGAAAAAGGATGTCTTTTTTAAAACCTAATAGAGTACCATGATATGTACAAGATACACCAAATCTGGTTTGACCATTTACCTG